TGTGTAACGGAAACAATTCTCAGCGAATAATACTGTCAAAACAGTGTTCATGCTTCGAGCATGTTGTAGGAATTGGACTGTTGACCTGTGCTCGTTGAACGAGAGGGTTGTTGTAATCGGATATGGCACTCGAAGACATGTGAATTGGATTATTGTGATTGCGTGCTACAACGCAATACTTGTACGAAAACACCTGTATGCCCTCTCATCTAATGATACCCTCTCTCAATTGCCACTCCATGAGCAGTGCTAATTTGAGTGAATCGCTTTTAAATTGACAATTAAATCGAGCGTATAAGACATGAATCGTCAACATCCTCATCAGAATGCAATTTTTTATCAGACTGATCACAATGCTAGAGTTCTGGTTAAGAAATTGGAGTCTACATCTTTCAAGCACTGGTTATGAGAAGAATTCAAGGTGAGTTCTGCTTGTGAACGTGGTTGAATTGTTAAGCAGTCATTCAATGAAACAGTTATTTGATGAGATGACCAAAATTTATATTTGGTTACAGCAAAATATCTAAACAGAATCTTTTCAATATTTCATATCGAACATACATCTATTAAGATGTCATGTGTTTGCATCGGATGGTGAGTTCGATGAGTAAATGATCGAGGTAAGCTAATGAGTGAAAAAAATGTTATTTATGATGTTTGCTGATAACAGAGTGGCTTGCATATGAGTGCTACCCGATGATCAAATCAGTAGGTCAAAAGCAGTGCTGCATCTCAACAGTCTCAAGATTGAAATCGCAAAAGATTTCTCGGCTGCAACCTTCACACTTAATTCCCCTCATTCGAAGGATTAATTTTTATTCTGAAGTGGGCANATTTCTCGGCTGCAACCTTCACACTTAATTCCCCTCATTCGAAGGATTAATTTTTATTCTGAAGTGGGCATGAAACAGTTTCAATCAGCAACATCTATCAGACTTCGATTAAGGCAAACTGAAATAAACACAAGCAACTCACACAAACAACCACTTCATTAAATCTAAGCAACAGATTTTCACTGTGCTATGTGCACTCTATTCATTCACTTCAGATTTGACGGCGATGACAGTGACTAATGCGAGAATTGATCAATTTGATTAGCAGTTTTTTGATGGAATACTACCGTAATCACGGAACATGAGCAATTTTGGTGTGCAGATGGTTGTGTGAATATGAATGGTGACAACGCAGGTGCTGACCTTTTCGCTGGATGAACCATTACGTAATGCTAGCAAATCGTTCTTCTTCACCTCCTTATCCTAGCCATCTCTAAATCATCATACAAAAACATTACTCATAAGATATAATAAATAAAGAAACACATACGAGCACATTCAATTTGTATCGTCTGTCCGTTCTGTTCTCCATTCATGCAATCAATTATTATACAATCATTCACTTTAACTTGTTAATATTGTTCTCTGATTGTTTTAATTATATTGCTATTACGTTGTTTATGTCAATTCATAATAATAATTTCTTCACAATGAATAATGAATACATTGTGAAATAAGCGATAAACCATGCACAATTGCATTGTTTCATTCAACAGAGATAGGTCATCATAAAC